ATAATATAACTTATATCATATCATTGATTTCAAATTTTAGTCACATTTATCATTGTTAATTAATTTAACGTAACGTCATAATTATAAGTTCATAATTTTCATGATATTGTAATTATAATATTATTATATATAAAATTACTATAACAACAAAAATTTTTCTTAAAATTTCTAAATAAATATTCAATAAATTTTAAAAAATTATCAATAAATAGCTAATGAACATTAAGAAAATGCTTAATAAATGCTTAATGAGCATTTTTAAAAATACCCTAGGAAAGAGTAATTTAAATATAAAGAGTACTGTTCCACCAAATGTACATATTTAAAGAGTAATGATATATGTCCCCAGAACTCCAACTCATCTGTCATTTTTGTAACACGTACCTTCATCATCTCCTCCCACAATGTTGGGAGTATCCCGGGATGGATCACAACCATTTTTTTAGCCGCCTCCTCCTCCTCCCTCTCTATCCATTGATAAATCGCTTTGCCTTCACCTTCTTTAGCTTAGAAAGAAAGACTTTAGCTGTTGATTGTCAGTACAAAGTCTGCAATGTTCCCACCAGCTGTGGGGGCCAAGAGATAAGCTTCCAATTCTACATCCCTGATCAGCAAGAACCCTACTGCGGCTACCCTGGATTCAAGCTCTCCTGCCGGAATAATACAACTCCGATTCTCACCTTTCCCAATGAAAGTGACTTCATAATCCAATAAATCTTCTATAAGAACGAATCTCTTCGTCTGTCAAATTCAGTAGCAGTACATGCAGGGGAAAGTGATTGCATCCCTTCTATCAAGAATACATCCATTCCTAACGACAGATTCGAGTGTCGGGAACGAGACAGAACTATACTTGCTTTCCAGGTGTTACTTGACAGATGCCAAAGGTCTTTTACGGTATAAGGAGAATTGCGCTGGGAGAAATGTCGATGACCTGTTCTGGAAAATGCCGCAAAGAAGTGTAAAAAAGTGGTGGCAGCACCGGTAGATGTAGGTGGAGCAGGGAGGACCGGCGGCGTCGGGGACATGTTGAGAAGAGAGTTTGTGATGAAATGGATAGCCAGCAATTGCAGCATTTGCGAGGAGAGCGGCGGGAGGTGCGGCACTGTCTGTCATTAAATAGGTATGTGTGTTTCCCTCTTCAATTAGAATTGGATATATAGCTTCAACTCAATCTGTGGGCACCTCTAATATTCTCTGCCATCCTCACATACCCACATCATTAAACCACTCAAACTAAAGTAACAGTACATGTAATTTTAGGGGAATTACCTAGGAAGAGAACTGTTTTCTCAATATATGTTCCAACAACATTCAAATGAATTTTCTATAAATTAATAAGGATGACTTACGTTAAACATCTTTATGAGATGGAAAGCTTAAGCTCAAACCATAATTAGGAGATGAATTCACGTAGTCACAAACTTAAAACAATATTCAGTCATTGGATTATATTGGTAAGTAAGATATATTGCATGTGCTAAAATGAGTCCCTTCTTGGAGCTTTTCAAAGAATCTCCCTCCTTGCTTATAGTTTACTTCAAGCTTTCGTAGAGACCCCAAATTGTCCATATGTTTATTTTTATTTAGCGATGACCCTGTTGCTAGTAAGATGGCTGTTATTATATGAG